GATGGCTTTAGTCCAAGAGCAGCATACAGGTGACAGGGCTACTTTTCAGTAGATACAGTATAGTAAATGAGTATTGTCATCCTAGAACAGAAAGTGTGTTTATTGGAAGGGAGAAAATCCTGAAAAACAAAATTGATGCAGCAACCACATCTAAGGATGGGTAGGCTAGGCTGCAATATATCACATTGTTTTGGGGGTTTAGTACACTATAAGCTGACCATACATATGGCTATTTGCACAGAATTTCAATTACTTTTGAACCACCAAGAATGGCAAATACTGTCGCCATATGCTCAACAAGAATTTTGATGCTTTTCCAGATTTTGGTTGATTTTGCAGTTGAATCTGGGCAGTAAATTTACATCTTTAATACAATTTATTAAACAATGGAATTAAGATAAATAGAAATAGGAAAAACTACAGCAATTTCATTATAACAATTCGATTCTTTCCCCAAGCATTTGGTCTGAGCAGTTTAGATTCCGTCAACTTTTGTCCAATAGAAACCATCATTTCATTTAATTGTTCTGTGATTGCAACAAAAAATGGAATCAAATGTTTGATGGCTCTCTATTAATTTGCCCTGTTATGGTCTTCTTAGGTCTGGCAGCTGTCTCTCCCCCTCCTGTTGGGGTCACATCTCCTCCCATGATCAGAGGTGTGAGGATGTATTGTTTGGGCTCCTTTTGAAATGCAGCTCTGAAATGCTGAGATCAGGTTGAGTTTGATCTGCTCTCCTAAAGAAAGGTGTTAAAACAAGGGACAGCGGCTCCTCCTCCTCCGCATTCCTTATCCTCTCCTGGGAGGGGTATAACCCCTCAATCACTTTCCCACATCCAGACAGGAAAAAAAAACAAGGGAAAAAAGCAAAAATGGTTACAAAAATTATATTGGTGCAAACAAAGCAAAGCAAACAAAGCATAATTGTGGTATGTAGGATCGTGCTGTGGCTTTGCAGCGCTAGGGTCCTGAATTTTATTACCAACAGGGCTCTACTTATGGTGTTTGTATGGTCTAAGGTCCTCTGATGCAAGGACTGTTGTGAATGGCTGTGTTCCTTGTACAGCACTGCAGAATATTATTATTATAATAATACAGGATTTATATAGCGCCAACAGTTTGCTCAGCGCTTTACAATACATCTCTTAGATTGTAAGCTCCAAGGATCAGGCCCTTCTATGTATCCCTCTTGTATTGAACTGTATTGTTGCTGTATTGTCTCCCGTTATATTGTAAAGCGCTGAGCAAACCGTTGCGCTATATAAATCCTGTATTATAATAATAACGGGAGACGGTACAGCAACAATACAGTTCAATACAAGAGGGTTAGGAGGGCCCTGCTCCTTGGAGCTTACAATCTAGGAGGGAGTAAGAATATGTCAGCGCTATATAAATGTATAATAGAGTGTGACTATGGAGGGGACATTAGAGTGTAAACTCTGGTGCAGAGACTGATGTGACTGACTTGGGTCGGTTCACAACAGGATTGCACACCAATGTGCGGGGCTCTTTGACTCCACATTCATTTGAATGGGCTGAAAAATGCACTGGACCATGCAAAAAGTAGAACTTGCACTACTTTAAAAAATGCACTGCACTAGACTGCAGACTGCATGGTAGCATGCAATTTGGTGCCCGCAAACACACTGCGTTTGCCATCTGTGCTTGGGGTGCTGTTAACACATTGGCACCCGCATGCAGATCGCAAGGGCAGTGTGTTTTGAACACAGTATGGGAAATGTGCATGGAACATGCCTTTCCCACACCGGGTTCTGATGTGAACCAGCACATAGTGTGCTCTGTACAGCACTGAGGAATATGTCAGAGATATAAATGCATAACATTGTGTGACTATGGTGAGTATGGTAAGTATAATGTGAATGGCTTAGTGTTCCTCTGTATAGCACTGCAGAATATGTCAGAGCTATATAAATGCATTATAATAATAGTGTATGACTGTGTTTGGACATTAGAGTGTAAGCTCCTCTGGAGCAGAGCCTGATGTTACTGAGAAAATCTGGCTGTACAGTGAAAGATTTTTTTTTCTGCCTGCAGGATTCTTCCATTCATGCTAAACAGAGCAGATAGATGATTCTCCCTCCACGGCTATTGTATTCTGATGGCCGGGACCACAGCGGACCTGCATTTGTTTGAATGCAGGTGCTTTTCTTTGGCAGTTTTCCACTCTTCTCCTTAAGCTGGCCATACACAAGTCATTTTTGTCCATTCAAGGAGCAGATTGAACAAAAGAAAATGACTTGATTCCCCCATTCACACACTCTATGTGGATAAGGGAATCCCTCCTGTTGTGTTATTGTATTCTAACAGCAGGGAGATTTCCCTGCTGTCAGTATACACACATGAGGGTCCTGGGCTATAGCTGGCGACACTGTTTGAGAGAAGATTTTTCACCAGACTGGTTGTAAACAAGTTTTATTTATTTCAGGTACTTATATAGCGCCATCAATTTATGCAGCGCTTCACATATATATTGTACATTCACATCAGTCCCTAACCCTCAAGGAGCGTACAATCTAAGTTCCCTAACTTACATTCATACATACACATACTAGGGCCAATTTAGACAGGAGGCAATTAACCTACCAACATATCTTTGGAGGGTGGGAGGAAACCGGAGTACCCAGAGGAATCCCACGCAGGCACAGGGAGAAAAGGCAAACTCCAGGCAGGTGGTGCCGTGGTCGGGATTTGAACCAGCGACCTAGTACTGCCAGGCGGAAGTGCTAACTATTTAGCCACTGTGCTGCCGGTTGATTTATAGATTAACTTGTGTACAACCAGCCTGCTCATACACGGATCAAAATTCAGCTGGTCCCTATTGAACAGGCCAAATTTTGATTCATGTATGGCAAGCATTAGATTTCTCAGTTGAAAGATGTTGGGCAAAGTGATGCCAACAGGGCCACCAACCAATCATTGGGAACTTTGCTCAGCATATGACCAGCTTAAGTCCCTTCTGTAAAAAAATGAATTATTTCATACTCTATGCGATCCCATAGGAATACCGCTGTCCACTACTCTGTCCGGTCATTTCCACTCCCTTGCACAGAATGATATTCAATCATGTTACCTCGTAATTGCTATAAATGTCAATCTAACAGCTGCTTGTTTTAAGTTCATCAAATCCCCCTCACTGTCTGTGGCCAGCCTCACATTTTTGTAGAGGGGAAAGTTATCCCATAAAGGTTATCACAGAAATGGTGTGTGATTGATCTGTGAACATTCCTGCATCATACAAGTGGAAGGATCCCTTCATGACATCTGCACCCATATTGTCCCCTGAGGAGGATTCCTTATCTTGTTTTTTTTTTTTGTAAATTCCTGCATACAATTTGTACATATTCAGTCTCTGCCTCAGCAACACGCCCCGCGCCTTTCCCTCCCAGACTACTGGCACCTTTCCAAATGCCATATAGCAGCTTTGCCAGCAATGGCCACAAGTAAGCATTCGGCAGCCTGCAGTGAGCACACTAGTGGACATGGGCAGACAGGTAGCCTGGAGGACTTGTGATGCCTCCAGCCTGTGATAAGTAATTAGCACTTTATCTGTCATCACTTGGTAAGAAATGCAGACACTGCATGCCCAGAGGTGCAAATTGATCCATATCTGTCGTGTTTTACATACTGGCCACTGTGCAGACACCACTTCACAGATCAATACAAATTACCATTTGGCTTCCAGGAGAGTAGGCTTGTTACTGTGCTGTAGAGCTTATGGTGTCCACTGTGTATTGATAAACCCAACACCAAAATGTAATACATTGAAGTGTACCAATTGTTAGATGTGGTGGCTCTGTTAGTTTTCTTTTTTTTATTATTATTATACAGGATTTATATAGCGCCGACAGTTTCCTCAGCGCTTTACATTATGGTGGGAGACAGTACAGTCACAATACAATTCAATACAAGAGGGATTCGAGGGCCCTGCTCCTTGGAGCTTACAATCTAGGAGGGAGGGGATAGTGGTACAAAAGGTAATGACTGTGGGGGATGGAGTGGTTGGAAGAGTAGAGGATTCCAGTATTAGCTGAGGGCGGGGTAGGCTTCCCTGAAGAGATAGGTTTCAGAGTGCGCCTAAAAGTGAGCAGAGTATGTGATAGATTGGGGTAGGGAGTTCCAGAGGATGGGGGAAGCTCTGGAGAAGTCCTGTAGATGAGCATGGGAGGAGGAGGAGTTTTCTTTTTTTTTTAGGCTTTTTTCCCCCTCTGTTTTCACCTGGTGATCTGGCTTGTAACACACCCCATGTATTTGAGTGCCTGGACAGCAGCATTGTCATTGTGGGGGGAGGGGAGTGCTGGATGTACTAGTATATTTAAATACACTAACAAATTGAAGGCAAACTCCAGCTCACACTTTATAATCACTTACAGCAACAGTTTTGTTCCTTTTGAGATGAAGGGTTTACATAAATAACATTACATAATAAAGAAAAGCTTTGTAAGCACCCCTGTCAGTGGTAAATGGTTTGTCTCAACCCTCTTAACTGCTGCATCTGCAGGACAACTTGTCCTGTTGAAAAGTAACAGACGTACTGGTAGGATGACCAGATGATAATAAAGGAAAGAAAGTTTGAAAAAGGAAAATAAATGCAGCCAGCACATCTAAGAATTAGCAAGCTGCAATATAATATTATAATTATTATTATTATTAATAATAATAATAATAATAATAATAATAATAATAATAATAATAATAAAATGTTAAAATATGAAATGTTTGCTTTTGGTTTTTGTACAACTTTAAATAAGACTCAATGTGACCAAACTGATGAAATAGTAATCACAAACCATTCTGTCACTTTATAGAGCTGCTGATCATTTTTGACTATTTTATTAATCACCTCTGATTGCAGAGAGCCAGTTGTAATTTAGATTGATTCATTGGTCAGTTCTCATAGCCTACACTTTCCATAGTAGATATAACATTGTTATGTTTAGATTCTTCCCATCTTGAAACTCATTGTTTGATTTTGTCTTTCAGGAAGCAGAGAGGCTGCCTTCACCTATGCCATCAGCGCAGCAGGAGTGGTGAATGCCATCAGCCGTGCCTGCCGAGAGGGAGAGCTGGCCACTTGCGGCTGCAGCCGGACCGCACGTCCCAAAGACTTGCCCCGAGACTGGCTGTGGGGTGGCTGCGGGGACAATGTGGATTATGGCTACCGGTTTGCCAAGGAGTTTGTGGATGCTCGCGAGAGAGAGAAAAATTACCCGAGAGGGTCTGAAGAGCAAGCGCGGGCTTTAATGAACCTGCAAAACAACGAGGCAGGACGCAGGGTGAGTATGAATTATGCCTGCTGATTGTAACCTTCCAGGGCCAACCAAATCCTCTAAGTGTAGCTCCAGATAGCAGTAAAACTCAACAAGGGTTCTAATCCCTAACCACTCTTTTCAAAACGTTTGACTTGATGTACTGACTGACTGTGCCATGATTTGTATATGTATTTGCTCACTACTCAGTCAAATGCACAAAAAATGCAGCTCTTATTTTGTAGAGAGACTACAAAAATTACAAGTGTGACTGTTTTGGGATTTACATTGATCTTCTCCTTGCTTCTGTAGACGTTCAGAACTGGCATTCATGGAGTGAATGACTGGGGAACAAGGAATGGTCAACAAATGGAATTTTTCAATATGTTGGGAAGTTTCTTGCTCTTACTTTTCTTTGCCACTCAGCCATGGCAGAGGGATATGGGGTGTGTATTGTAGAGCTTTAGGTTTCATGAACACTGAATGTTTTTGACACCACTTTTAGGAGCTTCAGACGTCTTTTTTTTTTTTTTTACTGCCTCTAATCTCCCCTGCATGTTATCCTATGTGTTCATGCACACATAGGCTTTTAGCAGCATTTTGTGGCAGGAGAGTTTAGTAGCAGAAAAATAAAACACTGCCAGGGTGTTCTGGAGCAGCAGCATTTTGGCAAAAAAAAAGCTGACAGCTCCGAAACTCTCCCAAACTCTGTTAAACACAAGTGCCCAGCTTTTTTTTTTTTTCAAAGCGGTATATAGCTGGTTGTTAAGAAGCGGCCAACAAGCCGTCTGCCACATCCTTAACAACGGGTAAGTCATCAGCTGTCAATGGGGTTACCTGCTGACAGCTGAATGTAAAACAAACAATTGCCGGCAATAAAAAAATGAGAAAAAAACAACATGGGGGTCCCCACCCGATCCATTCCAGGCTGTTCAGGTCTGGTATTGCTTTTAAAGGGAACCCCATGCCAAATTAGAAAAAAAAAACGTGGTTCCCCACCCCCCAAAATCTATACCAGACCCTTATCCAAGCACGCAGCCTGGCAGGCCAGAAAGGGGGGGTTGTGAGCGAGCACCCCAATCCCCAACCCCCCCCGAACCACAAAAACATGTTGATGAGAACAAGGGCCTTTTCAACCCCCCCAAAGGTCCACACTCAATGCTGGCTTTTTTTTTTTTTTTTTTTCATGTTGGTGGCCGGCGTTCATCAAGACTGACGTTTGATTTACTTGGGGGAAATTGTTTTTGTTCTTTATTTTAATAAAGAGCTTGTCAAACACTTCATTTATTTACTTTTTGTCACTTTTTTTGGTGAATGACCCCATACACTCATTCACATAGGGAGGGGGCCGGGATCTGGGGGCCTCCTTGTTAAAGGGGGCTTACAGATTCCGATAAGTCACCCCCTGCACCCCCACAACCACTGGGCCAGGATTGTGGGAAAGAGGCCATTGCCCTCATCAATCTGGGGACAAGGTGCTGTGGGGGTGAGCCCCCTTACTCCAAAGCACCCTCCCATGTTGAGGGCATGTGGCCTGGTATGGTTCAGAAGGGGAAGAAGGGGGGGGGGGGGGCGCTCGCTTGTTCCTCCTTTTCCTGGTGTGCCAGGCTGCATGCTCAGATAAGGGTCTGGTATGAATTTTGGGGGAAACCCATGCTGTTTTTTGTTTTATTTTTTAAATTTTGGCATGTGGTTCCCCTTAAACTCCATACCAGAACCAAAGGCCGCAGGATGCATTGGGGGGGGGACCTCCACTCTGTTTTTGTCTCAAAAACATGATGACTCATCCGTTGTTAAGAATTCGACGGATTCACTGGTTGTTAAGGATGCTGGTGGCCCTGCTCCTTAACGCTAACACTACTAAACGTAGTTTACACACTGTGCTGCTAAATATTGCTAAAAGCCAACAAAAAACACAAAAATATTAGCCTTTTTTTTAGCCATCGTTTTTTAGCAGTTTTTAGCTTCTAGTGTGCATGAAGCCTTAGATTTTCAATGCTCAGCATAAATGAATACACCCCAACAGATTTGCCAGAAAACTTTACTTTACTTTCAGAATCAACATTTTCTATGGGACACTATACTACAAAATACTCCCACAAATTTGCACACACAAAAAAGTATTTTTCCTAACAAATTAATTAATGACCATGTTGCAAAAATGAATACACCCCAATGAAAGTCTTTGGAGCACAGCTACATTTTAGACGTCAAAATTCTAATTGACAAGAATTCAACTACAGATGAGTCTAATTATTCATTAAAGAGTTGTCCATCAGACAGTTGATTATAAAAAGGCGTTACTTAACAACCCCTTCCCATTTCATACTGTCAGCAATGGCACCACATAGAAGAGAAAGGGAAGGCACGACAAAGAAAATAATTTCTTTACACAAGAAAGGTGAAGGTTACAAGAAGATCAGCAAAGCGTTACTTATCAGTCAGATTACTGTAGCAAAAGTGATACAAAAATGTAACAAAGATGGAACTGCAACCATCTTACAGAGATGTCCAGGCCATCCATGGAAGTTACCACCTCGACAGGACCATCTTCTGATGAGAAGAGCTGAGGAAAATTGCCATGCAAGTTCACTGCAGTTAGCTAAAGAAGTAGAAAGCCAAACTGGGGTGATTTGTTTCCCGTGACACAATACGGTGTACACTGCAGAGGAATGGCATGCATGGGTGTCGTCCACGAAGGAAGCCTCTCCTAAAGCCCATGCACAAAAAAGCCCGCCTGGAAGTTGCCAGGGCCCATGCTCAAAAAAATGATGATTACTGGGACTCTGTACTCTGGAGTGATGAGAACAAGATAAATTTTTTTGGAACTGATGGCTTCAAAATTGTATGGCGTTGCAAAGGTGAGGAGCACAAAGAAAAATGCATGGTGCCTACAGTGAAACGTGGTGGCAGTGTCCTTCTGTGGGGCTGCAACGATGGTATCATGAATTCATGGATGCACTGCTCTATATGAAAAGAGAGGCTGCTACCATAACTCTGTGCCCTTGGTCGTTGTGCACTTTTTTAGCATGACAGTGATCCAAAACACACGTCTAAGGTCACTGTTGAATTTCTGAAGAAGAACAGGGTGAAAGTGATTCAGTGGCCAAGTATGTCTCCTGATCTGAACCCAATCGAACACCTATGGGGAATTCTGAAGAGACAAGTTGAGCATCACTCTCCATCCAGCATCCAGGCTCTAAAAGAGGTCGTTCTTGAAGAATGGAAAAAGCTAGATGTTGCACTATATCGCCAATTTGTTAATTCCATGCCTAGAAGACTTGGTACTGTTCTTACAAATCATGGAGGTCATACAAAATACTAGATGTCGTAGTTTTTGTTGTGGGGTGTATTCATTTTTGCATCAACTAATTTCAGTAAAACTGAAGATTTTGTAATCTAAGTTATATTATTAACCTTAGTTTCATGTAATGAGCTAAACAAATATTCTATAGAACTCAGCTTTGTAAAAATTTTGGAAATTGTTCTTGTGTTCATTAAGATATTGATTAAAATCTTACTTTTCAAAAGGGGTGTACTCATTTATCCTGAGCACTGTAGACTCTTTTAAACACCTTTTCTCCTTAGAAAAGCAGCATAAAAAAATGTGGTAAAAGCTGTGTTTTGTATGTGCATTTATGCACATTTGCATGCCTAGCATTAATGCATTCTGTTGGTCAGGATATTAATTTATTAATTATTTACTGCATTTGGGCAGAAAAACCAAGTTATTTCTGCTACGTTGAATGTGCAAGTAATGTGCTTTTTTCTGCCTCTAAATGCTCCTGCTGCTAAACACCAGTAAATGCCTATGTGTGCATGGACACCTAGGCTAACATGGAGGGGCGTTTAGAGGTTAGAACACAAAACAGTCAAACGCCCCTAATAGCCACATTAGGTGTTTGGGAGCTGCAGTGTCCATGAGGCTTAAGTATTAGAGACTGAAATAGTATACAAATAGTTCCAGCTTTGGAGGCTTCTGGGGAGCTTGGAGATTAAACTTTGGTTCTCCTATCACATGAATATTTGGCAACAGAGTACTATCAAGTCACATTCCAACACGTGTAGGTATGCCTTTTAAGTATCCTACTCTTGTGCATGTTTATGTTTATATAAGATTCAGATATTAAATAAAGGGCAGCATACAGTTACAATACAATTAAATATGAGGGTTAGGAAGGCCCTGCTCGTGAGAGCTTGCAATCTAAAAATGGAGGTTGATACAAAAACTAATAACTTTGTGGCCATAAGTTGATGGAGAAAAATAAAAGCTCAGTTGTTAGGTAGAGATGGCATATGCTTCCTGAAAAGCAGGCAGAGTAAGAGATGGCTGGATTGAGATAGGGAGTTCCAGAGAATAGGGGAGGCTCTGGAGAAGTCCTAGAAGCGAGCATGGAAGGAAGTGATGAGGGAGTTAGAGCAGGAGGTCTTGGGTGAAGTGGATAGGACAGTTTGGGTGATATTGTGAAGTAAGGTTGGTGATGTAGCTCGGTGCAGAGTTCTGGATGTCCTTGTATATTGTTAGTATTTTGAATTTTAATTAATTGGGCTAGTGGAAGACAGTGTTTATGAATGAGTTTATGCCAGTCTTATATCAGTACAATGGGTGATTGTTTGAGCATCACCAATATTGGAGATCTGTGTTGTTCTTTTTTCCTTTTGTAGTACTTTTATAGTACTTCCTTTTGGAGTACTTCTTGGACCTTGAAAAGGGGACATACCTCGAAAGCTTGTCCTGAAAATGGTATGTTAGTGCAAATAAAAAAAGTATCACAGACAGTACTCAATTGTTCCTTTTGTACAAAGCTGACATCAGGACTGTCTGCCAAAAGTATAAATTTGTACATTTGTCTATAATGTTGATCCATGTTTATGTCAATAGTTGTACAATCCTGTCCTGGAGCCTCATGGGTGCTGGATGCTCCCCTAGTTCTTGCACCTTTGTGCTTGAAGCTTAAAGCAGAGTTCCACCCAAAAGGGAAAGTTCTTCTTTAAAGATTGGTTCCCCACTTCCCATTAAGGATTGG